TAACCAACTCCAGAATAAATGCATTTAATTAACTTCAGGAAGAAAAATAATTTGAAAATAATCTGTTGAAGTATTTTCATAATTTGGGTGCAATAACTATCCCTTCAAGCACCTAAAAATGTGCTTGAAGTAGACAGATGTAAATTTAGTGTTCATCCAATTCAATACTGCAATCGATTTCAGAAACAAAACTTTTCAGCTGGAAAGTAACCTGTGATTATGATGTACACTAAAGTACATCAGGGGAAAGAAAAAGTCTTATCAATCTTTTGCAATGAGCCATCTCGAGCTGAGCAGTTCAAAGACATCTGTGTCAGAAACTTCTCTGACATGTTTAAACTGTGAAATKTGAATTGTGCTTGGGTTTTAGGCTGAGACCAAAACTCTCCCAAGTTCTCCCAAGCTCCTCTTCTACGTGAACAGAGAACAAAGCTGTGGAAAAAGTACTCCTGGACAGAAAAATTACGAACATTTCAGAACTGAACATATTCTAAAGGCAGATGGAACACTTGTCATGATTCTAGTCAAATGTGCTGCATGGCAACCTGCAACCATCCATATCTACAGAAACTCCTTCAGAGTTGTGTTGATCCAAAATCTGGCCAGCACAAACAGCTAGACGTTTCTGAACCACTGCAAGTCCTCATATTCTGTTTGTAATAACAGTAGAAGGGGCAATGGCAAAGTATTAAGTCTCTGATCTTAGGTATAAATCTGTGTACWATTGTCACTGCTCATTACCTGCTGGGTTGGGTTATCTACCAGAAAATTATTCCCTGTGTTGAACTCTGTAAACAAAGATAACATAAGCCAAACTGAAAGAAGAAAAAAATCTTCACACAAAACAACATATGAATTGAATATGTTGTTATTAAACATTTTTTTCTTATAAGCTTTTGAAAAAAAGATTCATTTACTGCAAAGTTTCAGGTCTAAAAATGAAATGACCAAAAACTTCACAATAGGGACAAGCAGAATAAAAACAACAAAATACAAACAGAAGTTATTAATGTGGAATCAAAACAACCAAATAAATGAAGCATCAATGAACCTTCATTGTGGAAGGAGCATTAAGTAGGAGAACAGAAAATACTGACCTGGAAGTCAAGCTGGTTGGAGTAGGGATGAAAGCAGCAGTTTGGAGAAAAACACATAGGGAGGAAAACAGCAAAAGAGAATAAAGGGAGGAACAAATTAGTTCTTTAAAAATATAACAAGAAGATGATATAAAAACAGATTATAAAAAAAAAAAAAAAAAAAAAAAAAGGAAAGGGAAGGAAAAGCAAGAACTAAAATAAAAATTCTGCAGAGCTACATTATTGCTGTGCACTGGAGAAAACAAATTTTAAAGTAAAAGAGCATCTTGTCATTGGTGGACGGAGGAAAGACATCCATAGTTAAAACTAYCCAAATTCATATACACACCAAACAGAATAAACAAATTGGATGAGTACTGATATTTGCTGTCACACAAACATYATATGCCACAAAGTCTTTCATATGAACTGTCATTGGTTTGGTGAGCCTCATTCAGCAASTCTTCCAGTAGAAGGCAAAGGAGCTAAACAATTGTTCAAAGATATTTAAAAGTTCATCAAGCACTTTACCTAATAACCCAGGAAATGCAGCCCTTTCCAATGCTGACAGCAAATTTTTAATTCAGTAGGAAGAAGAGGATTAATACTTAAGCACTGAAAATACTTGGATGCTTAATAACTTTATTTGTTAAACAAATATCCAACATGCCCTTTCAAATAAAYAGGGCCAAAACAATCCCCACCCAGCTAGACCAGTCCCTAAAGCTGTCCCTGACACACAGCATTCTGTGCGCTTAGGAAAAGGAGCATTAAACAGCCATAAAATCAATTTTTTTTTTAAATGCAATTACTCCAAATGCTGATGTTTTGTCGCTTGTGCAATGACCTGCCAGTGCTGTGTGGACTTACCTTCATGAGGATTCAAATCCATATCAATTCAGAATGAATTGATTGTAATCTGGAYACCCCAAGAGCTTGAATACACCCATGTTATATACACCCATGTACATGAGAAATAGGTAGCAAAAAAAACTCTTGTTTAAGAACAAACAGGCTTGTCTTGTAGCTAGTACAATGTTCTTAARTGACTTTTATTTTGTTGCAATCTTTGCTGAGAAGTTACACTTAGCCAAACAAATGACCATGCATCTCACACACCACTGGAGAAAAGTGGATCCAAGATTTTGCAATCTTCACCATGTTGTCATCACTTTCTTTCTCTTTCCAGTCTAAATTTGCCAGTGGATAATTTATATTGTATTGTGTGCCAGTGCTCTTTTACTGAAATCACTCTTCTTTCCCTGCAGCGCTTGGCCCTTCCCGTATTTACACAGAACAAGCATCCCCACAGAGCYGTTGTTTTGCCAGAAAAATAAACCACGGCTGCTCAGACCCCTTCTGTSTCATGAGCACTTCATTTCTTCTTGCCAGCCCTCTCTGCACCTGTTTGCAGTTTTAATTCAACTTCCTGGACTATGATTGATGAGAAGTGCCCAGCATTGCTCCAAACACAGCCTTGCCAGCCCCTGATGACATTAATACCTTCCTGTCCTTACTGCAGATATTTATTCTGACATACCAGGATTCACTCCTCATTATTCAGAGCTCTGCTTCATTATTTTGATGGCTCACAATGACACAGCCATAAGCAAATTCACCCAATCTTTCTTTCCCAAAACTGCATCAAGGATGATCCTTAGTTTACATCAGACAGCCTTATTGCTCCTAACTCCAGGCACATGTATTTTATGCTATTGTATGTCACTTCATTTCATGATTCAAACTCTCGATTACATTTCGTAAATATACTTTTCATTCTAACACCATTAATAAAAGCTTTAGACAATACACTACTTCAATCCTGACAGTTCTGTTTCAGCTACAGCTCCCTCTCCTTGGTGAGGCTCTTTGCATTAAAACGGGCTGAAGTCTGCGGGAATGTCAAATATATGCTAAAGGTCCATAGCAATTTTAACTACTCCATCACATTCTAAATGCAGTACATCCCCTTCAAGAGTCTGGGTTCACTTAGCAGTACCACATTATTTTCTGAAAAGTTATTTCAGGATCAACATCCTCATCAACAATAACAGACTAGAAATCAGYGTTCTAAACTTACCCTGATAAAAGAAATTTTAAAAGAAAATTAATACAAAATTTCTCTCCATTGCATCACCCTTCAGAGGCTTCTCAAACAATAAGAACAGATTGTATGCTGATAACACTGGACCAATATCTCTGGATCCCTTAGTTCCTTTGTACCTTTGTAAGTGTTGTTCGGAATTAATAATTCTCAATTTAATTCAAATTTACTCTATCATTTCTTTGTCTACATAAGCTATTTAAACCAAATTAACATTTCCAGAATTTGAGATCACAAGCTTCAGTACTTCATCATGCTCATCTTTTAATCTTGCCATTTTAATATTCAAACRTTCAACTCATTAATGATTGCTACCTAATGAATGTCTTAAGATCTCCTCTTGAGYAAAGGATTAAAAGCCTACTGTTGAGTCTGGTGTGACAGAATAATTCAGGTTTTACCCTGCAAGGAGGGGATCAGTTGCTGTTTAGWGCAGGTACCCACAGCTGGAGTTGCTGCATTACAAACCTGGGTCAGTAACTGCACCTCTGCAGGGAAAGGGCAGCACCACACAAAACCTCCAGCTGTGGTACTTTCCCAATGTGCTGCTTTAGGATTTTGGAGTGTGCAGGGAGAACTCACCAGCATGGTGCACAGACCACTCCTCATTACTTCCTCTGAGCCCTCCTTCACACATTAAAATAGGTGCAAACCCTTGAGCATTCTAAACTCTGACATGGTGAGAGAGGCAACTGCTAATTGAGGTTGTCCTTAYATAAATAATCAGTTGTATTATAAACACAAATCTTTTCACACTTTAAATTTGAGGTCTCCATTCTTATGAGACTTGACCATTATTACAGTTCACCAAACATCTGCAAAGAATAACAAGTTTTGGCAGCAGGCAGCTGTGAAGGTGGATATCATCAGTAAAAGGTGCTCTACACATCTTTCTTTCCAAGCTGGCTGGTTTCTGCCCCCCAAGGTAAYCAACATTTCCCCTCTTTCATGGCAATGCTCCCTAATGGGTGCTGTGCCTTGACTGGAACTATAGCAGTGATCACAACAATGAGATCACTGAAACCTCTTTTCTGGCACCATGAAGCAGTTTTCTTCTGACTTGATTACAGTAAAGCAATTATATAAACTCTTTGAAAACACAGAATTCCTTCTTTTATTCAAGAAAGAGTGTCTAAAGTAGAGGAAGGAAACARAGAAAACAGATCAATCAAACAAACAGCAGCACACCATATGGAAGAAGGTTCCAAGAACTATTTCATTTCAAAGGGTGTGAGAACAATGGATCCCAAAACCCTCCTCTCTCTATTATGAAAAGCCTCTACAACCTTCCCAGAAACAAGACAACCACTGCCTGGTCAACATCAGAAAATATTCTTTTGAAGCAGATAAAGACTATGGGAACACTGAGAAACAGTTACAATTAYTAAATAATAATTTAATTAATGTCGTGAGATGGGTTAGGAATACTTACCAGTACTTTTCATGACCYCTGAGAATGAGGGATGTTCACACTTGGAGAAATGCATGGGGACAGTTCTGATTCCCCAGTTACTACAAAGGCAGGATTGTTCCCCAACACGATTGTCTGGGAGGGTTGTTGTCCCTGTTAAWTGCACATGACTTGTCCTACGCGTGCTTGCTTTATAAAGAGTATTAAAAAATGGAAACCTTAAACTTTTCCAAAGTCAGCAGACAGGAGATGCAGTTCTCAAGTAGCTCTTTTTTTTTTTCATTTCTTTTACAAGGCATAACAAATATTGTGTTAAAAAACATACTTTGCTCTTAACTTCTTAGCTGTGAAATGAAGATCAAGTAAGCAAAAATTCCACTCATTGTAAGACAAACAATACAAAAATTACCTTTCTAACTCAGCAATTTTCTTATCTTTGTCATTCTTCTCATTCTCTACTTCCTTGAGTATTTCTAGAAGTCTGTCAACCTCAGCCTGAGCTTTGCCACATTCTTCTCTATAGTACGATGCCTCTTTGTCAAGCTGTTTCATTCTGTCTGCAAACTCTGGATTCATCCGTGCCTCCTCTTCAGCTTCATGGGCCTTCAGAACCAATRTTTCAAAAAAGATAAGGATGACAGTAACTTAAAATAACTTTAAGAGTTTTATTTCTTCAGTCTTGGAGTTCAAGTTTTTATTAAAAAGGATTATGGGTATTTCTGTCTGATGACACTTTTCTCCAGATGCATTATAAAAAGAAATGAAAATACCTATGTAGCCAAATTCTATCATCCTGAAAGGGGGGAGACGTTTATTAAGGGGTTTTTGCATATTAAAGTGACCCCATTTTAAAGGTGTCTTTTCAAATTTAAAAAAAATAATAATAAATCCTTGTAACTCATTCAATTCACATTAAGCTCTTAATGTGTTTTGAATATATAGGCAATTTCTCAACAAATCTTTCCCTATATATAAACACACACTTTGTCCTTGTATATATTTACAAACACAGATTCATATATGCATACTGTATCTCTCTGTATCACCAGATGTCTCAAATGCAGTTGGATACAAAGAATTTAAGAGGAAAAACAAAATTGTTTTCAATGCAGTGATTTTGAAATATTTGAAATAAACTAAGTAGCTGCTTTCAGCAGACATTTTACCCAATAATCCCTTTTATCTTACCATTAATACTTAACCTGAAACATCAGAGGAACAAGCCCAYTGGTGAAAACAGCACAAACCTGGCAAAGACATGCATGGATAGTGGCAGCTTCACAGACAAGAGAGAACGCAATGGAAACAACAAGAGTGCAGAGCCCAGCCCAGCTCCCATCAAACCTAACAACACAAACCCAATTAATTCAACGGGAGCACGATCTGGCACCCAGAGCTTTCAACTGTGGGCTGGAATAATCACAGACAGATGGAAACAACAATGCACTGCAGTGCTTAGCCTACCCCTTGCTTCCCATTATTCCTAATTGGCATCTTGAAAGAGCAGGYAAGGAAAAAACAAGGAGTTTAAGGCAGYGCACATTAAACATAGAAAATTCAGGTAACACACAGGATTTTTACGGAAATTCACGATATTTAGAACTGAAGGTCCTCCAACTATCTTGGTACGCAGAGAAGACATGGACTGACTTAGCCTTCTTAATTTCAGGGAATGGACAATGAGAGCAAGCAATGAAAGAAATGCAGATCAAAATGAAACATGCATGTTTGGGAAAGAACTCATATAAACTACAGATACTAAAAGATCCATATTCTTTGCAATGATTAAAATTTTCTGTATAAAGAACAAGTCTGAGTTTACAATAAATACAACAAAAAAATGAAATTGCCAGGGAAGAAACTCAGGGGGTTTGCATGTAACATATCATTTAAGCATGAGGATAATAAGAAAAAGACAGTAGATTTGAAGTGTTATTTATCCTACTCTGAGATTTTTATTCAGAAAAAATATTTAATCACCAAAAGAAGACAAGGGAATGACATAAGGAACCTAATAAAGCTACTGATCTTGTTCTTCACGATCTCTGGATAATAATACACACCCCAGTCCTCAATTCTACAAATGCAGGACCTTTTCAAACACASAACTTGTTTCAAGGTAACATTCAAGGAGTAGCTTGATCTTATCAGATCAATTTTTTTTCCTCATGCACCTCTACCCTTGTCTTAACCCAGAACAAGAAGCAATGCAGATGAGAGAGAGAATCCTGTCCTTTTTTTTGTTTCATTGCCACATTGGACTTTCTACATGAAAAATACATTGGGTAAGAACATGAGAACATCACCAGTGCAAAGGTGTGGAGTATTCCTGTCACACAGCAGCTGAGAAATGTGCTGAACAAATTACCTACTGGACATCTGATCAATAAATCACCACCTGAAATAATTTATACATTCCTCAGTTTGGCCTTTAAATCTTTGCTCAACATCATGCTAAGGAAATCAACATGAAGCTGCATAAATATTTTCAGTTCTTGTATTTTGGGGATATATTTTTGGGATGTATTTTTGGAAATACTGCAATACAAACCAGGTCACTGCATCTCCCCATGGTTTACAACATGAATTGGAACCCCTAAGGAGTGATTCAATCCAATGGGATTAAGCATCCAACTTGTGCAGAGTTTAGAGGTGCAGCACAATTATCCACAATCTCACATATAAACCAACGTAAGCATTCAATTACTACAAGGTTATTCTTACTAAAAAGAAAACAAAAAAAACAAAAACCTGTATTGCAAATCACCAATTTAGCCAATTGCCTCTAGTTTTCAAAGGACTTATAGAAACTTTTTTGGACTATTGGCAGGAACCACATTTTGACAATGGCACTGTCCGAATGAAGATGGAAAGTCAGTTAAAAAAGGAGAGCAAGAAAAAAAAACTTTTATAAAGAGCTTTCTGTAGGTGGTACTTTAACCTGCAATTCCCTTTAAGGGAATCCTCACGTTGTAAACAAAGCTGCTGACATTAAAAAAGAGCAAAACACAATCCCTCCGACACTGCCAGGACAAAGGCACAGAATACTTATAAGGCCCCACTTGATTTGAAAGGTTTGAAAGATGTGCTTGGATCTGAACTAGGCACCTTTTCTTATTTGTTGTGTACAGATCAGGGGTGATTTGTTGACAGATGGAACTTGACTTTTGARGTCAAGCAGCAGGCCCAAAGCAGTTGAAAGGCAGCTCAGTTGATATTGACCCTGCTCCTGCCAGGACAGGGCAGATTTCTTTGGCTTTTCTGGAGGCTGTGGGAGTGGATCAGTTCTAAACAGAAGCTGCATGGTTATCACACGAAGCAGAAAGTCTCTGTCTATTTCTGTTGYCCTCTCCTCCTTTTTTGTTTCATTTTTGTCCCCCTGTTAGTCCCTAAGTTCTCTGTTACGTTGGAAAACATGTTTTCTTTTTCTACACGGCTTGTATGGGTAACAGGGACCAGCCCCATGTGTTTTTCAGCTTTCTTCAATCTGTACCTACAAATGATAACTCTTGTGTGTGCATATTAGGTTAATTTCAAACTAACCCACTCACTTTATGACGCTTTTTCTGTCAACATTATTACTCTGTTGCTGTATGTTATTTTTACAATTCAATAAAAATAGCATATCACTCTACCATTAGAATTCCACAAAATTTTACATTAATGATTTATCTGTTCTGGTCTTCATAAGCATCACAAATGCTTTGGAAGAAAAGTAACATTTCTTTATGTAAAGCACAAATTTCCTACAGATACACCATAACTGTGTGGTATAGACATGCAACATGAATTATTTAGACCATTAAAATCTTATGGTACAATCATGCATGTATTATTCTGCATAACAGAAATGGATGGATAGATAAGTATTTAMTTTTTAAAGCTTCAGACACAAACATACACAGAAATCAAGTGAGTATTCAGTATAAAAGAAAAAGGAACAGCAGAATTTACATGCAAGAAATTACTTTGTAAGATCCTTCAAATTTTATTGCTTTCAAAAGTATATTAAAAAAATGCTGTCACCTGAATTTGCTTGTCTCATTAAAACTCATGGGATTTTTATTTAATTTCAGGGACTGCTATAAGTAATTTATAGTGGGTCCTGCAAATACCTTAAATTTTAGTCTAACATTTCTTTGATACAAAATTTTGGAAAATTTAGTCTTTAATATTCAGAAAAAGGTTCACTGAACTCCAAGCTTAGCACAGCATTATACTTTCATTGCAGTATGAAGGCAATAATGTAATTTCTTGTGACCAATTTTGCACAAAATTTCATTGGATATTTCAAAAGGTTCACCTTTCAAAAATGAAGAAATGTGAGTCCATTTCTATTCACATCTCATTCTCATATAAGTAGGAGAAGAAAGAAGATGAGCAAGTAAAGTTGATTTAAAAAAATCATCTTGCGGATATAGTACGATTGCTGCCTGGTGCCAAAGGAAAAGGATCTTGCATCCATTACTYTGCAACTTCCAAAAGGCTGTCCTTTTCAAAATTAAGCACATAAAGGCAGAAAAAAATAATTAAGAAAATGACTGACTTTGGAATATTGCACACAAACAGATTAGGAAGTAACAAATGAATTCTATACAGCAGAATCGTTGATTTTGAGCTAATGACTGGCCAGCATTTATGAAAACCAAGCTAAGAACCAACACTAAAAAGACTCCAATCTGAAAAGACACTCACAGAATCAGTGCAAATGATATAAACAGGAACAGCYACCACAAAGGTGACCCAGGATGATACAGAAAAATAGGGGTTTATCATTCAAAGGGACAAGCTCTTTCACCAGCACTGTGCTGAAGAGCAGAGCTGATAATATCAGGTTTTATGCTACTCACACTACAATTTATGACTAAATTCTAAACACAGTTAACCAAAAACTTTAAAAGTAAATACAGCACATTCTGTGGGACTCTCTTCTCCCATACAAAAGTCCTGACATATCCATTACATGGTGAGAARCTACAAAACCCAACCATAACAGATTGCAAAGCTGCTGACACTGAAGGCAGAGCTGCCATTGACTGCAGTGATGGCAGCACCTCCTCTAATGGGCAGTGTCACATTACCTGAACTGCAAACCCAGGAWATACACCGTCCAATTACATGGTGATTCCAACTACCATTACTATGTAAACTGTGGTTTTTTAATTGCTCTTATAGTTACATCATTTTTCTGCCCTGCAATGCTCACAGCACATTAAMTGTAACAGTCTCAGCCAAAAAAATGGGAACTCTTCTCTGCAGAGAAAATGTTTGTTGCTGCTCTTCCTCAGATTGAAAAAGAACAGTAAAGTCAAAAGGGGAGATGCTGTGCAATTAAAGCAGGCATTGGTGAGAACACTAATGCTAAACAAGTCAAAGCAATAAYGTGCCTTCACAGAGACTGCCTTTTGTATTCATCATTTTATATTTCAATATTTTCTTCACTTAAATACAGTTTCCATGTTCCTAATATACACATGCTAAAGGTATACACCCTTTCATGARTGGAACTGATCTATTTTAGTTATATGGACTTTTCAAAATACTACCAGTCATTTCCTAGATATTATTATACACCTAATTAACTCAGTCCCTGAARATAAACTGAGTTAATTAGGAGTTATTTAAGTTTGAAGGATCAAATAAAGTACTGCACAAGGAGGAATTAAAAAGGAAAGCAAAAGGAAAGAAAAAAAATCTGCATGCATTTTTTAATGGACAAGTTGAGGACCTAAAGGCAAAGATATTTGTTTTCTCAGAAACAGAGTATGTACCTATTTAATACATTTCAGATTCTTAAAATGGCCTTCAAGTCCACAAAGTTGATTTCTTTGGATATGACGGATGTGGCATAGTGAGCACCAGGAGTGTTCTGCAAAGCTCCACAGAGGAAGAGCACGACACAGTAAGGGAATGGATCCTCATGCTTTCRTATGTTACAGCGGGCATTTTAAAAATGAACTTACTGGATTGTACATCTGATTGAACAACTGCTCAGCTTGCTACATTGCAAAGTTGGTAGGGAGTGAAGCACAGACAGAAAAAGAAGGAAAGATCCAGGAAAACAGCATTAGCTCAACAAAACCAGAGCATTTGCACAGAAGAACTTGTCATAAAAAAAAAAAGTAGAAATTTAAGATTCTAAACATTCCTTGGTGAAAGTGAGAGGCACTGGGGAAACATAAATGTTGACTTTGGCTCCTAAAAAAGAATAGCTGGAGTAAGAAATTTAAGGTTTGTGTTACTTTCCCTTTCTCAAGTTAAATAACCCATGAAATAAAGAAAGGTGTCCACTTTTGATGATACATTAAGTGCTGGTCTCAAGCAATGAATCACGAGAAGTGCTTTTGGCTGAGGCTGCAATTTATCACCAAAGCTTCAAAGACAGTAATAATAAAAGATTAATTAAATTGTATCATTATTTATTACTTTCCTTTTGTTTAATAAAGGCTGAATTTTCTATGCAGAATGACATTCGAACGGTACAGCTTGGCAAATAGTACTTTAGCAACTGCAAATGTGTCAGTAAGATAATGTTAAGATAATGAAAAACAAAAAAGGAGGAAATTCTGGAGTGGATAATAAAGATTATATACACACACATCTATAAATATAAAAAAATCATTTTGCTACCTATTAGGTAATTCCTGCTGTTCTTTCACTAGTAGCAATACAAGGTAATTCAACAAAAATCTGTGGAATTTTGGGGAAAAAGCATTGACCATTCTCTGGTATTTAGAATTTTTTCATTTAATTTTTTTATAAATCTCAATCCATAATATTTGTAACAAAATATTTAATGAGTATGTCTATAATTTAAAAGATTACCTTGTATACCAAAACATAGCACAGTCACATGAATAATTACTTTGTGCAAACATCCTCTATTGTTTTTGAAATGTGCCGAGTGTGTAAAACCGTGGGTTTAGAATCAGCATGCTTTTTCTTGCTGAAATGCAAAAAAATCCAGCAAAAATGCTGAAAAAATGTTTAGATTTACTAAAATCCAATTTAAAACATCTTTATTATTAATAAATTAATCTTATTGTCTCAATAAAAGACAGAAAGCAGGGAAAGCCAGGGAAGAGAAACTCTAAAAGGTGTTTTGATGGTTTTTATTCACAGATTAAGTTTGGCCTTGCCCCTTGTGCACATTTTCCTTCAGACACAGCACTAACTACCATTAGTGTACACACAAAACTAACTCCAAGCAAGTATGCTCAGAGAACTGGCTTCACATATCTCAGTGTCATTTGTTAAAATATATAAACCAGCATTGATCTACAATTATTTCCCAGCACTGTAACAGAAGGTACCTTCACTATGATATTTTCAGAGGGGGGTATTGTGTGAGCTACATGGARTTTTTTCAGGGAGACAATCCCTTGGGAGTTGGTTTTGAGGGAGGGATGTAAATTTAGCCAGGGCTGACGCTCACATTTGAGCATACCCATGGCACACAGGGGGTCATTTATGACCTGTGCCACTGTCCCCTCCTCCCCTGGCCCAGACATGTGCAAAAGTGACCCAGGTTTCAGTTTCACTCTGTTTCCTAAGGAGTGAAAACATGGTGCAGGTATTTTTCTGGGGACCAATTACTTTTAACACAGGGCATTTACAGGTTTGAACATAAAGTATTTCATTAAAGAAAATGTGAATTGAAAATGACTGTTTGGAGTCTACTGTCATTAACAGTCACTGTTTCTGTTCAATTAAATATGCCCAGAAAGAGGGTTGTAACTACATTTTATTGTGGAAATACCTGGTCTCCTACAAATGGTGGGTGAATTTCCATTGGGGCTTTAYGCTGTATTTATGATATAATAAAACTATTATGTTTTCAACTTTCATTCAATAATTGTTTGTGTTCATGCACAAGAAACATGCTCCCTTTTTATACAAAAGACATCCCAGACACTCTCTGAYTTTTGTAAGTGCTTGGTTTTCCATGACTGTATGATATGTTTATATGTACAGTCATAAACAATTGAACTTAGGATTTCAAGTTCTTCAAAAGGATTTTGATGAGGGTTTTTTTAAGTGATCTGTGCTTTCAGGGTTCTTTTAACTGTATTTTTTTAAAGAAGAAAAAAAGATACTTTAGATTGTAATGAAGTATATTTTGTAGTGGAGTGAAAAGTAAACAAATGTATTTTCTAACAAACTAAAATAAACTAAATGACTTCCAGAGAAACCTTTTCTTTGGATATTTAAATTCTGCCATCAACAGCATTTTAAGCTATCAGACATTTAAAGCATTCATGTTTCCATTTGTATATGTTTACTGAAAAAGCTTCCCTTCCTCTCAACAAACGATCCAACGAAGGCACCTAATTGCACATATTCATTCTAAATTAAAAAGTAATAGAAGCATAAAGTTTACACACTGGTATCCTTTCTACTTTGCAATACCTTCTTCACAGGTCAGGCTATTGAAACAAAGCTTAATCACTGAGCAGGATACTACTCAACCTGGGTAAAAAGAGTGTCAGAATATTAYGCTAACAGTGACAACATTCACAGAACAAGTATTATTTACTAAAAACGAAAAATTATATCAATAATTYAAAAAAAGTTTGACATACACTTAATCATGAATTGCAGAAGGCAAACGTAATGCCTGACCCCATCAAATACGTAATGAGAACAATGAGAGCAGACATTACCAAACAACACAGAAAWAGGTCAAAGAAACAATGGTACCAAAACACTTGAAAATCATTTAAGCAAAATCCAGTTTAACACAGCAATTTAGTTATAAAATATAAGGTTTGTATGTTTTCCTTCAAATGCTTGCTTCCACTACTTGTTGAACAGAAATACTGAATTGCCAGCTGAGATAAACYTTTGATTATTTTGCTTAATTATCACAAACGTGTTCACCAACAAAGCCAAAAAKACATCAAAATAGAACCTAGCTAGAGTTTTCATTTTGGAAGCTGAWTTTTTTGATTAGGAATTACAGCATTTCTTGGACAAGCCTTTAATTTTTTTTTCTCATACTGCAAATATTTCAGTTTACTTCTCAAAGTGGCGGAAATTYGCATACATACAAATTGCTGGTTTGATAATTTCTTTCTGCCCTTTTACTTTCCTTCCAATMTCCTGCTCTCAGTTCATCTGTTTGTTGCAGCTTCTCAGAATTCCCTCACAGAGGTACTCAGGACAATTTCTAAGGCTCACTAGTGGCTTTGGTACAAACCTCTTGAGAAAAAGCAGTATTTGACRCAAGCATCAGCAAACAGCATAAGATGGGTAGATTCTAGATTTACTCCASAAGAGTAAATAAGCTCATCATTTCAAAATGAGGGGATGGGATGCTGATTTTTGTTTKGCTGATTGTTTGTTTGTTTTAAGATGGAACTTACCTTTTTCAACTGTGCTTCCAACTTACTACACTCTTCTTTCTTTTGTTCTATGGCTATTTCTAAAGACTTAAGTTTGGAGTCTCTTTTCAGCCCTGCTGATGCCAATGAAGATGCATGTTCTTTGAGATCGATTAAACTAGACTGGAAAATGACCAAGAGTAAAAAGTTAATTCCTAGTCACCAGGACACTAACTCATTGCCAACTTAGCAATCACTTGGATCCTGTTCCCCCTCCCCCAAAAAGGTTTGACTCAAAGATAAGCACTGATAGCAAAAGACACAACTGGAACCACAGGAAMGGGCATGCAGTGAAGCACAGAAACATTCATTATACAGACGAGCTCATGTCATATTCTGGAGKTACAAACACACTGAAAACCTTTTCTCTAACTGACAAATGAAAACAGGAGCAGCAGTGGAATATCTGAGCCCAGTGGAAGCTTAGGTAAAGGACAAAGTAGAGATTTTGACACACAACTATGCAAAAACTGAAGCAATATTTTATGTACAAATGAGGACTGTGAAGAATGCTTAAGAAAACAGCAGCTCTGGAGCTGACCACTGRAGTGGCAGAATTTCAGTATTTGACATGATTCAAGAGTAGTCCTAATGCACTTTCGTTCATCATAATGACATAGATAGAAGAGCAGAGACGTTAAGAAAAGACTGACCTCTTTTTCTGTCAGTTCAGCTTGTAATGCATTAACTTTTTCTTTCAGGTCCTTGTTTTCTTTTTTATAAGATTCAATTTCTTCAAGTCTTTCTCTGTCATCCCGATCCCTTTGCTCCTTCAGACGCTCTATTATTCTTTCCTAACAAGGGAAAAAATCGCAAAATGGAAAAGTTGGTAATCATCTAAAGAAAAGAAAAAAAACTAGTATTTGTTTGCATTATGTAGCACTTAGAAAAAACAACCTTCATAAGACTGTTATAGACATTAAGGATGTTTGAATTAATGGTATTATGTCAATGCAAGATTTCTCTGGATTTGAAAACCATAAAATCAAGGTTTAAAATACTTAAGAGTATGTAAGAGTAATAGTACAGGAACCTCACTAAAGATCTATACTGACATGAATATGTTTAGTTTTGTGATAGATGTGGAAAGATATTCACTTCAACAATGTATTTTCTGTATTCATAAGTGATTGTAGTCTTGAATAAAAATTCAAAACAGGCCATAACTAGTTTCCTCAGAGGCCATGCCTGTTTTACTCAGCTTCAATTTAGCTATGTAGCCTCTATAGTGCTTGCAATAAGTTATCAATGTTCCAAATCTAATTAGAAATCAATCACTTGTTAACTATCAGTAACTTACAGTTTACATGTGTATTTTGAGACATCAAAAAAACAATTGTCCAAGACACAGAAAAAGTACCCTGATACAAACGAAGAAACCCAAAGGAAGATTTTTCTCTCTGATTAACAGTAGCTCTACAGAGATCTAAACTCAAGCATGGTTTTACATACTTTGCTGATTTCCAATTACAGTTATCAGGTTTGCTGCACATCACCAGTCATTGATTGGGTGAATAATTCAAAGGGTGAAATGYAAAAAGCAGATGCAGTAGTATGGTTTGGTTCAGCTCTGATTACGTTCTACAAAATTTCAYTAACGATCTTTATGCTTTTTCCAATCTAAACCTATGATACTGAATAACATTCAAGCTTAYTCCTAATAACAAACAATATAAATTCTTAATCCCTCCAATATTAATATTAAAATGCCAGCCTCCATTAAGTGGAATAGTTTAATAATAATAAACATTCAGATTCGACCTGGTTATATTGAGAATTACTTTTATACCCATTCCTTCTTGAAGATTTATTTACCCAAATGATTTTTTCATCTATAACAAATTAAACATAACACTATTTCATCTTTTTAATGAACAGTGTATTTTTTTTTCTCAGTCAATCACAAAAGAAGACTAATTTATCTGTCAGCTGCATGAGGCTAAATGTCAAAAACGTGTTAAAAGGCCCTAATATACCATGTTTTACTTGATTAACAGCTAACTTGCAGAAATCCCAACAATGTGTTCTTGTTTCACTCTTATTTGCATTGGCCAGCTTTCCCCRTGCACTAATCTGGGACCTCACAGGTCTAATCTATTTGCACTTTATCACAGAAGCAGGAACTGAATTGCCCCAGCATATACTCCATTATCARACATACTCCATTGCTTATCTGCTGTATGCTGCTACAGTAGGACCAACTTTATAAATATCAGCTTCATGAAAGCAACCTCTTGAGCTGCTTTGGGCCAGTCCAAGAGCTGAGATATTCTTTGAAAAGTTTCTTGTTATAACATCAAGGAAGCTGATAGCACTTGTGCATAGTCTGATTTTCAAGCTTCTTTTTTTTATTGCAATGTAATTTTATTTTGTTGTTGTTGTTAAGAATTTTCAGTGCTTAGGAGAGGYTCTGAAATAAGGGATAAACAATTGAATGAATATATTTTGCAGCTTAGTTCCAAAATTAACTCAAAGATGACTCAMGTTGATTTGTTTCTGATTCCTGACAAGAGGACAAATCATACCAGCAACATCATCAGAACAATACTAAGATTAAAAGAAGTCCATTTCAGGAAAATTTGACATTGTTTTATGATGTCTACATTAATTTCTCATTTAGTGTTCCCAAGATACCTAATCACTAAATATGAAAGAAAATCAAGACAGATATACTTGGAAAAATCTATTTTCATAAAGAATAACGAGACATGCTTTCTAATTCAGAGCCAAAATCACAGTCTGCGTATTTTCAAGAACAATGCAGGAAAACGAGTTTTGGACTTTAAAAATAGCTTTMTAAATCATTTCTATCATATGATCATGTTATAATTTTTTTTTCTTCCTATAGAAGCTGAGAAAAGCAATTCAATTTCAGTAAATTGTGGTTAGTTAAACTGGCAAGAATAAGTGTTATTTGTATTTTAAAAGAAATTCCCAGTATGCTCTGGAAGAATTTTATTCATTATTTCYACGTTAAAATTCTAAAAACTATTGAACAGACAAAAAATTAATATACAGCAAAAACCAGTCTCATCTCAGAGTACAAACCAAAATACAGCTGCAAAATAGGTCTGATAAATTTCTAGGAAAAAAAACCACAAACAGTGTATCTCCATGGAAATGTAAATCAGGTATTCTTAAAAGAAAGCATCATCTTTTCTTGACAGCATTAAATATCAAATTGATAAAAATACTTTTATTGATGCACTTGTTAATAAAAAACTCACTAAGGGTTCTTGTTTTGTTGCATTTGGACAAGCCTCTATTCCATACCTCTACCAGTACTCCCAGTGGAAATAGTTAATAACCATTGATAAAGTCTGTAGGTCTTAAGAACGCTGCTGCGGAGGGGAACAGGGATGAGAAAGTTCCTGAGAGCTCTCAGGATGGATTGGGAAGCTGGACACAGAAAGGAATGAGGCCCATGTGTAAACATACACTGACGAAGTATTTATCTGCCAGAGGACAGAAGAAAGCCAGGCATAATAGCCCATGTGGAATTTCTAGATGTCTAYTGGCTTCTTTCAATGTGTAAGTACATCCCAGAAATCACATTTAACATGGAAAAAGTGCCCTTCCAAGTGTGGCCTTCAAGGGACTTACGAAGGAAAAGAAATTGTGGGTGATTTTCCCCATACAACAAACCATCAAAATCATACACAGAGATGTTTTACCTTGGGAACTTGTTTCTCATAATGTCTCAAACTCTCAGATCAAGCACCCTGTTTTACAAAAGCTCATCTTAACCCWAACTCTGCAATGGTGTTTGCCTCCTACTCCTATTCAAGTCTGCTTCGTGACAGTCACTCTGCTTCCCAAAGGACTGTTTTAAAAATCTCTCAGCTGCCTCTACGGGCATTTTGGGAAAGTAAGTAATTCAAAAAAAATAGGTAACAAGGAGAAAAAACAAATTTAAAAGGACTTTTTGCTTTTTTTTATTAATACACTGCAAAATGGATGAACCCTGTGTCCAGACCAGCAGAGACAGATTACAGAAATGTGTAACTTTACTGTGTAACTGCTGGATACTTATCCACRTCAATCAATACTAATGACAACTTTTTTCACTGTTGGTGATCAAGCAAATGCTAGGAAGGCAATTAAACACACAAGAAATAAAAAATCKGACATGAACATTATATGTGTCAGTGCCAACACCACGGTGGCATTTTCAAGCCATACACAGCCATAAATACCTCCATAGGATTACACACTGCAGAATGGCACATACTACTATAATTAATCACACTCACCTGCTCACATTTAAGTGGTATATACTAAGATCTGTGAGCTGCAAAATATGGATTCTTGTACTAATTTTTTGGGCATATAAATTCACTTGCATTACTTCATATTCAAAGTTCACTGAAAGAAGAAATCTGAGCTCACTGAAACTGGTAGGAATGTTGCCACTAATTTAAACAGCCCAGATTTATYCCTTCTCTTAGGTATTTTCAAATTAAAGACATCGAGTCTGTAAAGGAAAAAAWGTAATTCTCAATTATTTTTCTTATGAAACAGAATTTCCCTTAAAAATGCAGTGTAGGGAATCAAGAATGCTCACAGCAAGCCAACAGTTGCTATGGCCACTGCTCTTGRCCCTTCAGGTAGACCCTGCTTAATGGACAAACAACAGGATAACCAAAATGACAATGATGGAAGAATGCCCAAAACTCCACCTTCTTTAAGCCARGTGTCCAATGCCTCTCAGTTCTTCCAGGGAACAACCACTCATCTCACTGACTGAGGGAAAATCTTCCCATGTCTGGGGCCATTTCCTCCGTGAGCATTCAAAGGCCATCGCTCCTGCCCTGCAGGTCCTGTATCAGCTCAGCTGACATCCCTGCTCATCCATCCACAACACRGCCACCTGCTCTCCTGACCAGGCCCACAGGCTTTGGGACAGCTGCCAGACCAACTCAGAAGGACATTTTTGCACACACTTCACCCACAAGAGCAGCACATAAAGCTTTCCATGAGGAAACATTACCTTTTCTGATAGAGCTTCCTCTAGGGTTGCTAGTGCTGTGTCTGTGTTACTGGAATCCGTCTGCAGTGACTTCACTCTGTCTTTTAGATTAGTTAGTTGTTTGTCTTTGTCTCTAAGTTGCTCCTGTAGATTTTCAATCTGAAAATAAAAACATTTACAATCGTCATCAACCTTGTCATTACGTTCCAAGAGGGACTTGGGTGCTGAGTGCATAAATATCACACATATGATACAGGGTGCCCCAGTCTGTACCTGCTACATCATCAACAGTTTTGAACTTATGTCCTTTCTATTTTGTTTTCTTTTGCTGAAGAAGTATAGTTTTCTATAAAATTAAGTAAAAAAWTTCAATGCAATCAGGTATTTTATTATTTAAGTATTTTCTGATATTAATCACTCTAGTTTAAGGTTCTGCATTATCTCAGTAATTCAAAGTATGTCTGGAATTACCCCTTTAGATTATTCTAGTTCAATAAGGACAAAGAAAGGGCGAGGCAAAGCAAGTTGAGTGAGCCTTAAAATGAGGAAGAAGAAAGATGATAAGCTGCCTGTCTAAAAACCTCTTCTTCCATGATGCCCTGCTATAAAGAAAACTCATCTGGGCAGAGATCAGGATGTTTATACTTAAAAAGGCCAAACCAACAAACAAACAAACAAACCAACCCTCAAAGGCCACCATTTCCATTCACTTTCTTCATGTCCAAAAAGATGCCACTCTATTTTGGATATTTTGACTGCTTTAAATAGATTTGGTTCTTCATTTGGAAAGTATTTAAACATATTGCTGAAGTACCTATAAGCACACTTGTTTGTTAAACAGGTCATAATTCATAGCGGTTAAATCAGAAAGGGTTAAATCAGAAAGGTTTTGCACAAAAAGTCCACAGAGYWACGTGGATTTTGGAAGGAAATGTGAATGAAAGCACTGAGCTTCTGATTGTCCTGGCAATCCCCTTGTGCTGGAAGGCGCTGTGAGCTCTGGGCAGAACGCAGGGGGTGTGAAATGTCATATTTGTGAAATGTCATTAATTGTCTGCCAGAGGAACCCACCCCGCTCCCTCCTGCACCCTGAGTGCTGCTCACTGCTATGCACCACTGGCACTAACCCAAGATTTGTTACTTAAGACTTCGCACAAATAAATAGTAACAAGAAAATTAACTAGTCTGTTATTCCAGTATGCCACTTCATATAATATGAGAAAATATGCCAAACTCCATAAAGAATCATTTGTTCAAAACTGGTTTKAAATATGTTGTCAACGTTAGACAAATTATTACTGTCAACAGATATTCAAATTCTCACTTTCATCAGTGATTTTTCACTTTGGGTCACGTTCTCTTGCTACYGAAATTAATTCAGTTTTCCTGCTCATTTCATAATTTCATTTCTCATTGCCAATATCTTTTCTATTTAAATCGATTCAGATTTTAAAGAAAGCAGGATCCTTTACAGTTACTGTTAAACTGTATTGAAAGATTTCTTCACAAACCTGAAGTTGAATTCAATGCACGTGCAGCTCTCCAGAAGTCAATAGTTACATCMATAAAAATTTGATCTCCATATGCAAGAATGTACCACCATAATCAAATACTTTAATTTAGGGTACACCTGGGTAAAAATTGTCCTCCTACTACATTACACAAGTGCAGGAGAAAAAATCCTGAAGTTTTGACATCATAAATATCTATAATTAACAAGTAATAAAATCCACAGTACAGCTGTGTGCACTGTATAAAGTGTATTTTTTAAAAAAACTACATTCTAAAAGAACTTGAATAAAAAATTAAAATAAGAAAATAAATTTGGAGGAAGGAGCACAATTCAATTAGAAATTCTTTACAGCATGGCAAATACAAGCCTTGTACCTTTTTTCTTTTTTTTTCCTTTTATATATACATAGTTTGGTATATCAGATTACTGCTATGAGCCAAAGATTCCACTTGCTGTGTAAACTATAAAATACTACGGAATATATAGAAAGGTTTTTTTGGGAAGAGCTGACATAGAATAGCTTACTCTTGTGAATGACCTCTTGCAATATTTTTCTTCGTGTGTATATTTTATACAGATACAGAAACATGATACATGTGTTAATGAGTTAAGAACTTTTTATTTTATGGCATGTGTATTAGTCACATCTAAAATTACATTAACTGGCATTCAGAGGACTGCACACTATGTTTCTTTCTTTACTTCATCCAAGTATTAATGATTCCAACAACTACCTCATGACACCCTGTGGAATTCTTAAGCAATTGCACATTTCAGCTTCACCAAAACAAATTCTCAAGTAAAAGGCAAAAACCAGGAGAGTGAATATTGATTACATGTTCTTTGAAACGAAGTTAAGATCTGGTCCTTTATTATCATCAGCTTGACCTACCAATTCTAGGCACCCTAAATTAAAGTACTTATTTCCTATGCACAGTGCTTATCTGAATTCCACAGCATTTACACGATTTCCTTCCTCTTAAAACTAATTGAAAATATGAGCCAACCCTTAACCAAGAAAACATGTTCTAAAATTATTCAGCATTTACAAAATTCTTTCCTCAGAGGTAAAGAGAACAGGCAGCAAATTAAAAACATCCCCATTGAATCACAACTGCTTTAAAATAAGTCGCTCAATACACACACCATAGATAAAATAAGAGGAAAGGATCTAATTATTCTTCTATTTGTGCTATATAAACCTGAAAGAAATACTTTGACGGGAACAGGACCACACTGRGGTATGTGAAAGTAGAATCAGTACCACAGAGTATTTGTTTGTTGGGATGGGCACAGGATTAGCAAAGACCTAACACAGACAAGGCTTTATGACCAGTTAATCACAGAGTTCTCTCAAAAAGATTACAGGAGACAAAAAGATTGAGCGGTCTCACATGCTAAAATCTTGGAACACAAGATATGATTTAGTTCTTCCTGAGTTTTTTAAACCTAGAAAGAACAACWAACCCTCTGGTAACCTCTGTCATTCTCCAACACACATACACATTAGGGTACAAGCATATCTGTAAGGATACAATTCTATTATTGAATAACGACTTCTGAGCATGCCTGAATTCAGTTTATGGCAGGGACTGTTAAGACCTTCTTAATCCTCAAGCACTTATATTTTTTTTCTGATAGGAAGTTAGTTACTGTGAACTTTTGTCAACATCTATTTCTTACCTCTGTCAACCATGTCCCTGTGCCAGGATGAAAAGAAACTGCCTTATTCTTTCTGTATTTCAGAAAGTGTGTATATTCCCAGGGCTTATGCCAGACTTTATTCCTTCTTTTAAAACAATACTTTTACAGATAAATGTCTTTCCTGTGAGGCATCCTGTCAATAAACCTCAAGTGCTAATCTTGTCACCTTTTGGCGACTGTCTCAGGAATGCTTATTAAATACTCAAGGGATTAAATTAAATCTCACCCGCAGACAGGCTTTAAAATTCTCCAGTAACCCAAGTTCTCTAAAGAAAATTCCTTTCATTATCAAAATTAAGGTACTGTACCATGGAACCTGCAAGAAAATTATATAATCAAAGAAAATATTCCATGCTGTAACAATTTGCCTTCAGAGATATGCCTTAAAGTGTAAGAGTTTAAGAGCCTGTAAGAGAGAAATTACCTGAGACTTCTTGGGCCTAGCTAATGAAAACATAAAACCATATAYTTAAACTTAACTGCATGTATTTCCCTCTCTGTTCTGTATTTAAGTAAGTTAGACAAGTATTTTGTAATAATAGGGGTTTTTACTCTTAAAGTTCATTTTGCTCTCTTCTAAATTTCTCTAGGCAGAAGTCTGTGATTTGTTCCATATAAAACACAAATCACATCAATTCCACTCAAGTAGATCAATAATATAAGATTAGTTTTATTCAAATTTAAAACTGAAACCCATGTAAGAAAACAACTTCTGTATGCATTTACATTACTTACAAAAAAACCCCAATATTGTATTTTAACAAAACAATTCTCCAAGAACTGTTACAGTCTACTTTAAACAAGTAATCACATTATAAGAAAAAGAGATTTAACTAATAGCATTCATCCAACACGAACACTATCTATGACTACTTTAAAACTTAGGATTCATTTTCAGACTTCAGCTTCTGCCTCAYACACATAGATAACAAAAGACAAAAGTAATGCAACAATTAATCAAAACAGAAAAAAACAGGCATAGTTCAAACATAAAAACTCTAAATGGCTACTTACACATAATTTATTTTTATTAGACTCATGGTAAATGATCTGGTTCATWTGGTCCTTTTCAGAAACATCTCAGGATATCCCAGAACATGAAACCAGCTTGGTATTGACTCAGTAAAGTAAAWGTCTACAGACATCCCAACATCTCCTTTCAGAAAGTGTGCATGCATAATTTGTAATGAAACAGCCAGGAAAAAAATAATTTTATAACTTTACCCTACCATGACTGTAAAAATATTACTACCTGAGTAGTAAYAGTAGACTTAATACAGAGATATAATTTTTGGAAAGCACTATAGATTTTTAGCAAGAATTTTTTTTACCATATGGTGTACAGTTACTAAGTATCAGATCAGTCAAATATTTTAAAATTAACAGGCCTTACAGCAGCTATTTGAGGTTCCAGTCTATGCAGTGAGAGAGGAAATTTTTTTAAGAGTCATGATATGACCTAAATAAGTTCTTAGTTTAAGCAGAATTTCCAATAACAAAACGAGCCCATTGAAGGACAACTTCTGCTTCAACAGGTTGACATTGCAGAATGACTTTGGTCTTGAAAGACACTGCCCCAAAAATTGCTTCCTCATTCAGTGCCAAGTAACTTCCACTTTTTTGTTCTATTTAAATAGGCAGACAGACAAGCATTARTTGGGAATATTTTTTCAAAAGTAAAAAATCACATACTTTTAGATCCAAAAATAAAAATAAATGCTATGTTAAAAATCTATACTATCACATAAAACTCTTTAAAATATTATAAAATATGCAGCTGCTTGCAGCTGAAGATGTTCATTCAAGGGTAGGATTTGTACTAATCTTTTGCTTTACTGACATAACTGGAAAAAAGCTTGTTATTCTTATAATGACATGATAAAATACTCTTGGATTCCAGAGGTAGATCCAATATCCTCTAAAGTGCTTGATTATGTCTCAA